TGTGTGTTTGGGAGAGGAAGAGGCTGGAAGAGAGCGGGATGGAGAGGGTCTCGCTCTCGGGACATTTCTGGAAGGCGGCGGAGGCTGTTGCCACGGTGCAGATTGTTCTCCCGCAGGCTGTAGAGCTTTTTCAAATAAAATCATCCTGAGGCGGAGCTCACGGTCTTTTCTGGCTCTCGCCGTCAGGGAATTGCAGTGGGTCTCCCCCAAACACAGTATGTAGTCCAAGTGGCCATCTGAAGCCGGCATTGGGTCCCGGCATTGACCGCACTTTTTAAAACCTGAGGAGCCGGACATTGCGGGCTCTCTCCCTCTTGAAATTATTATATTTATCTTCTACATTGTTATAGTTTGTGGTTTTGCCGCTTCTTTTTTCTTTTTCTTTTTTTAAAGTCTTTATGTGTTTCTTGTTTTGACAGGCGGGAGAAAGCCGGTTCACCGGAGTCCCGGTCTGAGGTAAGTTCAAGCCCCCTGAGGGGGGATTTAATTAAGTCTATTTTTCCTATTTCTAGTTTGTTTGGTTTTTTAAATAAAGAAACAAGGAAAGAGTAACTAGGATAAACAGGGGAAGCTAACTATGTCTAAATAACTAAGGGGAAAGTAGTCAGTCTGACAGGGAGCTCCTGGCTGCTCCGTCCGCTGACGAGGGCGGTTAAAGAGGAACTAAAAGGGAGGGGGTTGAGTCACGTTCCTTAGGAGGCGGGAAGGGCTCGAGACGCCTCCTGGGCATGTGTGGCTCAACAGGGGAAACTGCTATACAAAGCTCCGATCTGCGGCTCAGGGCAACCCTTCACCTACGTGGAGCACCCATGGGGACACTACTCAAAGAAGAACCCCTCAATCTTTCTCACAAGGTTCCTGGAGAGGCCTGCCTTACTCCAGCCTCTGTGGTGGGGCAACTTCCCATGACAAGCCACCACTAAGGAGCCTGAGGTCATGGAACCATACAGCAGTGCCGCACATGGCACAGGCTCATGCCCACACTCAGGCAGCATCCGCTCCCGGTCAAGTGTGGTGATGCGGAGGAGACTGATCCTGTGCATGAGAACCTGCTGGGCAGAGGAAGACCAGGGAAACCCTGTAGCGCTCTATGGAAAGTGGCCTCTGCTGCTCACATACACCTCCCCGACAATCCCCCCCCCCCATCCAGTGGGCAGGGATAGAAGTTCTCTCTCTCTCTCTGGAATGCCTGCAGTGCAAGACCCAGCATGAGCAGAACACCGTAGGATGCTGAGCCACTCCATCCATCCCTCCCTCCCACCAGCATGCTCCTGGCCTGGCCAGTATGTTCCTATGCCTGCTTGTCCCCAGGACATGGGTGTTGTGATACTCCCCTGAGACATCTGTGCCCCTGCTGGAAAGTGCCCACTGTCTAGACAACATATGGCCTTGCTCGAAGCACATCATCATTGTCTGAACTGAGACTTTAGGTGTCAGCTCAGGGATTAGGGCTGGGCTTCATACACAGTGTCTCCTGGGATGACTGCCCTAGTTACTTTTCTTCACAGCTGCGAGTGTAGCATATCCCCCAGCTCCCATGCCATCTCCACAGGATCAGCAGGAGGAAGTGAACTGGGAGGACCTAATGAGGGAGCA